GTTCCTAACCTTTCCCTTTAATAAGATACTGTTCTTTAAAATTAACTTCAGAAAACCTGGTCTGAACTGGAACCAATTCCAATCAGTTCTTGGAGTATGCGCAGAAACACCACTTCTAACAGGTGACCTTCTCCAAACTGGACACAAAGGTGTCTACAGGATTGAGGTACTAAATGAAGGACCTTGCTAGCTACACAGCGCATGCGCACCATCCCATAAATGGTGAGTTGCTTTTCAGAATCATCCTCACGGACTCCACTTAAAAAGCCGACTGTGGGCAACCCTGGAAGTACGAAAGACAGGTACTCCATATGTTCCAAATAAGGAAATAGAGTCCCTCTATCATCTGATTAGCACCTAGCTTCCTTGGCATTTCATGCTCAACAAATCTGGAAGCAGCCCAGCCACGTGGCCTTTCTACTTTGTGGAGTGCCTAGTGATTCTGGGGCAGGCCTGCTCCAATAAGGATGACTTCTTTCTCAAAAAGTTGCAAATAGAGATACCATTTGACCCAGCACCCATGTTCATCACGGCTTTGTTCACAATAGCTAGGAGTTGCAAACAATCTAAGTGTTCATCAACAAACTAATGGATAGAGCAGCTGTGGTATAGTCACATAATGGAATACTATGATGCATTGAAAAACAAGGAACTCATGCAATATTATTCAAAATGGGTGACCCTGGAGGACATTATGCTGAGTGAAATATCTCAGTCACAAAAGGACAAATACTGCATGGTGCCACTGTTGTAGAAAGTGACTGACATCAGGTTTGGTGTAAGACTGAGAAAAACTAGATAGATTATGTGTACTGAATTGAAACAGATGAGGGAGAGAACAGTTTAAAAGTGATATATGATAGCATATTATGATTATCACAGGAATTCAGAATTAAGGTTGCATAGTGGAGTGCATTTGGGGCAGGGGAGGGAGCAGCGGTGGTGTGGGGGGGATTGTGTACCAACAAAGAAGTTTATCTTTTGTTTTTCAAAGAGAGAAGCGAACTGGGGGGAGGGAGTTAAAGAAAAATGCAACAATGAATGAATGAAAATCCAAAATCTCTGTAAATGTTCATTAAATTTAATTAAAAAAATATTACTTCAACTTTCATCTTTAATTTGACCTGAGACTTCTGGTTGAATTCTTTCTCTAAGAATTTAGACTGTGATATCTGGTAACAGTCCCTGTGTTGATAACTACCAGGGGACAGGTACCTGGATACAAATGATACATATTTTAAAATAATATACACTGTTATTGTGTACCATTGAGTCAGAACTGACCCATAGCTGATGCTTCAGTGGATTTTCAGAGACAGTTAAATCTCATGTGAGGAGATTGCCCATCCTTCTCTCAAGAAGCAGCTGGTGGATTCAAGCCATGTGTTTTCCAGGTTGCAGTGCAGTTTCTCACCACTAGCCCAAGAGAGCTCTCTAATATACAAGGTATTTGTATATAATTTTAAAATATTTTTAATATATTTGTGTCATGTCCAAATCCTGTTCACAGCACCACTTTGTCATATCCAAATTCTGCTCACGGTGCCATTTGTCATGTTAGGTCAGGCATTGCGTTAGGTTAGGGCATTGCGTTAAATGTCAGGCCTGAGGCAATCAACCAAAGCCAGAGGCTCAGGTTCACTGACAAATTAAGAAATAAGTGCAAAGAGCCAGTCAAGCAGGTGCAGGAGGTTTAAACAACTCTTTATTGCCGTTTTCATACAGACGGCAGGGAGAGACAAGAGCCCCAACAGGACACACACAGAAGCTGAGGACACAGTCTTACCGTGAGTCCTCAGGGAACTTTCCTCTCAAATTCTTTTGGTTCTTGGAACAAAGGTGGCACCCTGCCACAGTTTGCACACAGATCCCTACCTATCCTTATCCCACTATACACCCGTGCAGTTACAGGCAAAACAATGACTCAGCACAGCACTACTCTGCTTGCTTAGATACGGTTGCAGTCTGGCTAAAACTATTTCTTGTTTATAAGACACAATAGAGTTTAGCACGAATTGTCTGCTGGGTATACACAACATATTGCAGCCCCTGACAATTTAAAAAGATCTATAATGACTTTTAATTACATTTTAATTACTTTAATGACATTTAAAATTTTCATAATGAAGAAAAGACAGTGTTAGAAACAATCATTACTAAAATTACAAAATGACAAGAAATTCTGAACAAAGTCAGAAAGAGAGGTCAGAAAAAGATAATTATACTGAAATATTGGAATAATGTGGAAGGTCTGAAGGCCTAGTATTGAGGAGCTGAGTTGCCATCTCAGAGTCAAAACCACTGAACAAAACTGATTCAGGCAGTTCTAAGCCACCAGTGGCCCAGAAGGAGCAAGAACGGCATTTTCCTCCCATGTGATTTACTGCCTCTGAAAATCTACTGGAGGGTCAGCCATGAGTCTGTTCTGACTGGAGGGTATAGACCAACAACTTGGAGTAATAATGATGGCTAGATTTTGTTCTTACCTTTGCTTCAGCTTCCTAGCTCCCCAAATGAGGCAAGCAGTCTCCTATTTAGTTGTAAACTAACTCTTTTCACTCTTTGTCATTGAGTAGGAACTGACTCATAGCTGACCCTCCAGTGGATTTTCAGAGGCTATACATCTCATAGGAAAAGTTTGCTCATCTTTCTCCCAAGGAACAGCTGGTGAATTCAGATGGCCTACCTTTGGGTTGATAGCACAACTGTTTTCCTAGAGGCTCCCCTTTCACTGTCAGGTATGCAGATTTCTATGTGGGAGGGGAGGGATCACACACACCTACTCACTGAGTGGGTGTTGAGGTGTTGAGTTGGAATAGACCCAAAGCTGACCTACTGACTTCCGAAGGCTATCTATCGCATGCATGATTACCCCCCTTTTCTCCCTGGCACTCATTGGTGGATTCAAAACACAAGAGAAGCATAGTGTTTGGGTTAGCAGCACAGCTCTCTACCAGAGCTCAACCAAAACAAAAAAAATGACCTTCCTTGAGGCTAAGCTTTTAATATTTTCTCTCTCACTACTTCTCCTTTCCCCTTCATGGGTTGAGGGTGTGTACTAGGCGAGGCTGTACTGAGCTAGCAAAGAAGGAAGGAGCAAATGGCAAACATGCCAGGTAGAAATCCCCCCACTAAAAACAGCTGCATGAAAAGTCTGTGGCAAACAAAGCTATTTTCATACTCTTTCTGTCTGTCCCTAGAAATAGTGCTTTGTTATTTGGGACACAATGCTGTTTTCTGGACCCAGCACCCCAACAGTTGCTCTCAAGATACAAAATTGCTTGTTTGTCTGATGTTTGCACTACTAGGATCTGATGTTCAGCTCTCAGAATATTTTTGTTCTTGAATTAAATGACAATTATATTTCAAAGCTCCTCTCCCTTTTTAACCTGGTCCACATTGTAACCATCCTAAGACAGATGAAAAACTCCAAACTTCTCCATTAGATAAAACATTTAACATTAAGATTCTAGAAAAAAGAAGGAAGTATAAATACAAAGACCTTACCATCAAATTGATCAGTTAATGACAACAACCCTGTGTGTGACAAAGTACGACAGGGTTTGGGGGGGTGGGGAGAAGGCAGTAACCTTTCTGGAGATAAAAATCTATGTATGACACTTGTTTCTTTCTCGAATTATAGTCAGGATTTATTTACTTGTTTATTCACTTGGACTATGTTTGCCAAGAATGCTTTTGTATAATGTTCTTCATAATATACCACAAAGAAATCCACTGAGGAATTAATTGTAATGGAGTAGACCAATTTGAAGTGTTAAGAATAACAACCTGAAAAAATAATAATAATAATAACCTTGTATGTAACCACAAAGAAGCCCTGGTGGTGCTGAGGTTACAGAATTCAGGCTAACCCAAAGGTTAACCTACCCCTGCTCTCTGAGAGAGAAAGATGATACTCTGCTTCCAAAAGCCTTAGATTTGAAAGCTTATGGGCAGTTCTGTAGTATTCTACAGGGTTGTTGTAAGTCAGCATTGCCACAATGGCAGTGGGTTTGGAGTTTATTTAACAAATAAAAAGACATCTCAAAGAAAAACAGATAAGGGGGAAAAGTCCACATAGATATTTAGATTCACATTATTATTATTCAAGTTCACTTTTAGTTCCACAAAACAACTGGGAAACTTATTGTAGACTTTGTTACCTTCATCTCATATGTCACTTTGATTTAAATTTTTTTTGTTTAATATTTCTGTGTGTTCTCACAAATACACATATTATACGTTACTGAACATACATGGATAAATATGACCGTATGTATTTTTAATGCAGATCAAGCCCTAGCCAAACCTCCCTCCCCCATTTCACCCAATGTGATCCTTACTAACTTTCTTGTGGGCATCCTTTTATATTTTCCTCTCCACTACGTACACATACCCACAAACACAGGGTTATTGTTTTTATTCTCTACTTTCTATTGCTTGCTTTTATCACTCAACAATACTTCATGGAATTCCTCCAAGCCATCTGCTATAGCCCTAAGCAATCTTTCTTAATGGCTGCGTACTATTTATGCTATTAAAAACCTCTCAAAGCTCTGTTGTTAAATAGGCTCCAACTCATAGTGACCCCACCCCCATCCCTATTGGTTTTTGAGGCTGTAAATCTTGATAAGATAGACTACCCATCTTCCTTCTGAAGAGCAGCTGGTAGATTAGAACTGCCAGAGCCACAGCCTTTTTAATTAGCAGTGCCACAACCTATGAACATGGATGCCAATAATTATTCAGTCACTTTTCTACACGTGGGAATTTAGTTTAGTTGATGTTCCCCTCTACTCACTCTTCATACTGATGCAGAAAACATACCTGAGCTTATGAGTTCCTCTGGACTGATATGTTTGTATATTTCTATGGGATTGATTTCCAACAATGAGATGTTTTGGTTGAAAGATCTCATTTCAATTGAGAAAAATCACTGACATTTTAAAGGGGTGTCTTTAGCACTCAACAGATGATACTTAATATATAGTATGACTCACCTTCCACTTTCAACTCCATTGCTGCCTCCTCTTGGTATGAATGGTCTCGGAAGAAGCAGGTGTAACCTCCCTCATCTGAGAACCTCACGTTCCGGATCCTGAGGGATACCTTTCCCTCACCAATGGTCTCCTTCAGCAGCTCTGTCCGGCCCCGATACTCCGGAGCCTGCTCTCCATCTTGGTCCTTGCCATTTCTGTAGAGGTGAACCACTCTGGAGAAGGGAGGGCGGTACCAGCCCACCTCCATGCCAGTAGCATTCTTCCCAGGAGAGATGCGGCATGGCAATTCCACTTCATCCCCCACAAGAGCCCGGATGGGATGCCCTGGTCCTATCACTCTGAACTGTCCTGTTCAGGAAACCAAAGAAGAGACTAAGGGTCAGAGGGATCTGTGACAACCAAGCATGTCATGGGAAGGACAAGGATGTGGTTTTAAAATTACATTCTAAAGCCAGGGAGGAGCTTGATTTTCTGTCATAAGTATATATATGAAGTCTGGTTAAGGAGATGCTATGAGCACTTGGATCAGAACATTCTAGCACATGGCCATCTTGACAGTTGCTCCTCATTTTAATTCAAGCGGACAATCCAGGCCAGTGTCTAGGTTCCATCTTGGATTGTGGTTCAGGATCTTGAAGTTTACTACTCTCATGGGTTTACTCCTCTTTGGATCTGGCCAAATAAATCCTTATTATCTCATTGGGGGATTAGCTTTTGTAAAACCATCTGCTATCACTTTTCAGCTCTCTTCATTCACACCAAATAAAATCTCAAATCTACTGTTGTTGAGTCAAATTTGACTCAAAGTGACCCTCTACCAGGTTTCCCATGCTGTAAACCTTTCTGGGAGGAGACAGATCCAGTTTTCCCTATGAATGCTGGCAGACTCAAATCACTGACCTTTTGGTAAGCAGCCCAATACATGAGGCGAGGCAAAATGCCACTAGAGCTCCTTTTATTCGCAAGAACTTCCCCTAAATCTCCTCTCAGAGCCTCTGCCCTGGGCTTGTGGGGAGAAAAGGGTGGAGTCTCTCTCCTTCTGCTTTTCTTAGACCCTGGTCTGTACATGCTTCCAATCTTTTCCTGATTTCTCATTAGACATAAAGTTCCCAAAGGGTTAGGGACCTGAGCCTCCTACCTCTTTAACCAAGTAGATGTCTTAAATTTAACATCTGTTTTCCTTTGCTTTTCTTTCTTCCTAGTACATGAAAATAGGGTTTACCCACAGAAACTTTCTTTCTTCTTTTTTTTAAAGGTTAAGAAAGCTAGGATCTTCATCCCCGCTTGATTATAAGGCCTTATTACAGAAACTTTCTGATGCCTGATCCTATGGAATGATAAGTGCTCAAACATTACAAGCTATTACCATTCAACAAGCATTTATTAAATGTTAAATATATGATAGACACTCTTAAGCATGTTGTATACCTCCTCCAACCCTGACAGCAAATCCAAAAAAACAAAACCCAAACCCCATTACTATCAAGGGTATTCTGACTCATGTTGACCCTAAGTCTTACGAGTAGAACTGAGCTCCAAAAGGTTTTTTTTTTTTGTTGTTGTTGTTTTTAGGGGAGGGTGGGTTGTAGTTTTATATAAAGTGATCATTATGCCTCTCTTCTGTTCTGCTAGTGGACGAGATAGAAACTTCTAGCCTTAAAAACTTATGGGCTCTCCAGGGACCTCAGCAACTCCAAGGGATGGTTGTCATTCCCATTTTATAGGTGAGAAACCAAGGCTGGAAAGACAGGAAATGGTTTAAAGAATCCTTTGGTTAAGATCAGAGTAAAGAGTTGGAATCCCATTCTGAAGATTGGAGGGAGCCAATAAAGATTATTGAGGAGGGGACCCACATCATAAAACACTGTTTTCGAAGATAATTTACAAAGCAATTTGAAGATGAATTGAAGCAGGTGAATGAGCCCAAGGGAATGGGCCTTTCAGTTCTCCCCAAGATGGGAATAAAGACATGACTTACCTGCATAAATGACAGACAGCTGGAGAAGGAGGAGGAGGAAGAAGGGGAGGTGGCTGGGTAGAGTGGAGCCTCCTACACTTGCCATCTCACTGCTACTGGGGACAGAGAGCCCCCAAAGTGGGGTCAGGCTGAGCAGGGTGCATGTCCCCTACCAGTGAAAGGCCTGAAGGGAGGATCCGGAAGGGCAGTGCAGCTCAGGCCCTGCCTCCACCCTGGCCAGGGCTGCAGCTGTGCCTGGAGGGACGGCCCACGTCACCCTTGCCAGGCACCTACACAAAAGGGCTACTGACCGAGGGGATGACCAGGGCTTGCCTTCTCCACCCCCTTGGAGGAGCGGAGCAAAGGCTGCCTGGTACTGAGGCTTCCTCCCCTCTTCCTCCCAGTGACCCAGCTTCAGGGTGGAGGGACTTCTAGGGTCTGGTCAGTTGGAATAGATCACTGATTGGACTTCAGGAAAAGGCTGACTCGTATGTTCTATGAGGTATCTTCAGTCCCTCTGCCCCTGATTAGCCAAGGGATTTCTGTAGGCTCTTAATAAAGAATATTTAAAAAAAAAAAAGAATATTTAGAGTTGGTCCTTTATTTCGATTGTTTCACAACTACCATTAACAGCACAGTCTTCTTGATATTCAATCTCCTTCCCCTCTACTGCAAAACCAAACCTCGTTATGCATGTCCCAATGTGATGGATCTCTTGCATTTAGCCATCTTCTACCCCCTAATGGATGTTTGTGGGAAAATTCCAAGTTGATCATTAGGAATCAATGGTCATTTTGGTTCAGAGTCAAGTGAAAAAGGTAGGTTAGCAAGCTTGGCAGTCTTATCAATTAAAAAAGGCATTGGCAACAGAGTCCCCCAGCCTTGGCACTCTTCTCTGATTTCCTCTATGTTGTAGAGAAAGGAATATTAAGATAAATACCGAACTGGATAAAAGGATATTAGGAAATAGGACCTTGTTCCTTCCCCTTGGACTCAGATCAGTATCAGGATGAGACAAGTGTCTCTACCAAGTTCCAAAATATATTTCTCAATCTAAAAGCAAGAAAAATGGGACAGGGTGACCACTACAGTAGCTGTGTTGTCTAGTACAATAATCACTAGCCACGTGAGGTCTTTTAAATTAAATCTACAATGGAATCAAGTAGAAATTTAACTTCTTGATCAAACTAGCCAGGCTTCAAGTGCACAGTAATCTCATGTCACTAACTAGTGGCTAATGTATTGGACACGATTTCTATTATCACAAAAAATGATATTGGACAACACTGTTTAAGAATTACGAATATAAAAAAAAAAAGAATTACGAATATGATGACTGAGACATATATTTTCTTCTTTTGCCTTTTCTGTTTGAGTCTGGGAGTTATCATCTGTCCACTGTGAGGTAGCTGCAGTTTCGGCCTCAATCAGAGTTTGGCTGCTTTTGAGATATGTGGGTCAAATTTAAGGTTGAGAGAGAGGAATGATTTGGGCGGGAAGATAATTGATTGTGCATCCTTGACTTCCCTCTAGTGAGATTTCTTTCATCCGGAACTAAAATATCCCAGGCTGATTTTCCTCTCTGATGCTTGTTCTGGGGGGAGAGTTACATGTAAAATGCTTTCCTGGACACATTATAGGCTGGTGGTTCAACACCAGTCCAGTTATCAGTCTGGAAGGGAGACCAGAGTAGAGGTGGAGAGATCAAGGAGCAAAGATATTAAGACACTAGTCAATCAGATCTACTATAGAGAAATTGCAGCATCCCTAAAGGTAAAGATACTTCTTCTTGTTGTTGTTATGTGCCGTCGAGTCGCTTGCGACTCTATATACAATAGCCCTAAACTCTGCTCTGTCTTGTGCCAATTGCACTGTCTCTGACACTCCCATCCCAATTACCCCAGTCACTGAATCAATCCACCTCATACAGGGCCTTCCCCTCCTGTGCTGTCCCTCCACCCTCCCAAGCATGATGTCCTTCTCCAAGGACCAGTCTCTCCTTACAACATGTCCAAGGTATGTCAGGCGAAGCCTCAGAATTCTTGCCTCCAAGGAGCCGCCCAGTTTAACCCTTTCCAGGATGAATCTGTTTTCTTAGCAGTTCATGGTACTCTCAATTCTCTTCTCCAGCACCACAGCTCAAAGGCATCAATTCTCCTTCTATCCTCCTTGGTCATTGTCCAACTCTCTGATGCATAACAAGTGATTGCAAAGACCATGGCCTGTATCAGACACACCTTAGTCTCCAGAGAGACACCATTGCTCTTCAGTACTTTGGCAAATACTGAGCAAGCATATTTTCCTTTCATGTGATTTATAGCCTCCAAAAAATCCACCCCTGGACAATCAGTCATGAGTCAGTTCTGACTTGATGGCACTATGTCCTGGTACCACTGTTCTGAAAAGTTGGCATTTAAGTAATTCTTTGAATCCTCACAAAACTAGAACAAAGGTTACACTATTATTACTCCTTGAAAAAGTTTTACAGATAGGTGATGGTGTTGGTTTCTATTGCAACTAAGACCATTGAATTGTGCACTTAAAAATAGTTAAAATAGTTTATATGTTCTACTTTAAAAGCTATTGTCATCCTTTGTCTCACTTATTTTGGACATATTTTCAGGAGTCTTTCAAGAGAGACATCATGCTGGGAAAGGTGGATGATCAGCAAAAGAGAAGACCCTGAAAAGATGGACAATGTGCTTGCGCATGACAGCAATCCTGAGGGCGGCACAGGACAGGGCAAGGCTCAGCTCAGTTGATTGTGGAGTCGCTGTGAATCATAATCGACTTTTTTTTTTCTTCTTGTTCTGGACCATCGAATCTGACCTGACTGGCACAGGAGGGGATTACCCCTCCTTCTCCAGCTGAGCCTCTGAAGGATTTGAACCACTGCCTTCAGGATTGCAGCACAGTTTCTTGCCGCTAGGCCACCAGAGCTCCCCTAATCATAGTGACTTGATGAAACCTAACAACAATAACTACATTATAATCTTTATTTACAGACGATAAAATTGAGGCATAAAAGAAATAGAGTAACTAGGAAGAAAGTGATAGAGTTGGGTTTATAGTTGCGCTTATAGTTATAATACATCTAATAAGTTCACCTTCATTCCCATGCCTCAAGTCTTCTCAAAGGACGCGGAATTCTGGAGCTATTCCTTGAGTGAGCAGTCTCTTGGGTGACGTGGGGTTTTGTCTTTGGGCAAAGGTGGCCCACACAAGGGTGAAGGAAGGGACTGCCAGGTAAAATGGTGCCATTTACAGAAATAGCAGCATCATGTTTGTGTTGGGCTGGGAGCATGATGTGGGAGTGTCCAAGAGATTAAGCCGCTCAGCACTGATCAGAGCATGGTCATTTCCTCCAGCACGTACATGTTTATATTCATTGATTTCAAGTAGCATATGTTATGTGATCTTGAATTCTCAATTTTTTCTCATATATGCTGCTCCCCTCAGTTATTTCAGCTCAGTCTTAATCTTGTCCTATGTCTGGTAACAAGTGATGTATGAAATCATGTAAGCAAAGTGCACTTTACTATGGAACACATGACTATTATATTCATTAATAGACTCTTCATTTATAAGTTCAAGCTGCTTTGAAGGAACTAGCAAAAAATAAGGCCCCAGGAATAGATGGTATACTAATTGACATATTTCAGCTAACAGATGCTGCCCTGGATGTGCTCACCAAGTTGTGCAAAGAAATCTGGAGAACAACCACTTGGTCAACTGACTGGAAGAGATCTATATTTGTTCCCATTCCAAAGAAGGGTGACCCAATAGAGTGTGGAAACTATAGAACAATATCATTGATTTCACATGCAAGCAAGATTCTACTGAAGATTATCCAAAAATGACTGGAACAGCACATCAGCAGAGAACTGCTGGAAGTCCTGGCTGGGTTTAGAAGGGGTCATGGTACTAGGGATATTGTAGCTAATGTTAGATGGATCTTAACTGAAAGCAGGGAATACCAGAGGAATGTCTATCTGTGTTTCATTGATTATGCAAAGGCGTTTGTGTGGATCATAACAAACTGTGGCTGACCCTGAGAAGAATGGGAATCCCAGAACACCTGATCGTGCTAATGCGAAACCTATACTTGGATCAAGAGGCAGTTGTCAGAAAAGAGCAAGGAAACACTACATGGTTCAAAATTGGGAAGGGTGTACACCAGGGACGTGTTCTATCTCCATACCTTTTCAACTTGTATGCAGAGCAGATTATCCGGGAGGGTGGGCTCTATGAGAAGTGTGGCGTCAGGATTGGTAGAAGATCTATCAACAATCGACATTATGCCGATGACACACTCCTGCTTGCTGAAACTGAGGAGGACCTGAAGCACTTCCTGCACAGGGTTAAGAACTATAGCCTTTAATATGGATTGAGGCTCAATATCAAGAAGACAAATATTCTCACCAGTGGGCCAATTGGCAGCATCAGGATGGATGGTGAAGAGCTTGAGATTGTTAACAACTTTAGTTTGCTTGGCTCCACAGTCAACATTCTTGGCACCAGCAGCCAGGAAATTAAAAGACGTATTGCAATGGGAATGTCTGGTGTTAGAGACCTCTCCAAAATACTGAAGAGCAATGGTGTCTCTCTGGAGACTAAGATGTGTCTGATACAGGCCATGGTCTTTGCAATCACTTGTTATGTGTTAGAGAGTTGGACAATGTGTTAGATAGTTGGACAACGGCTAGGGAGGATAGAAGGAGAATTGATCACTTTGAGCTGTGGTGCTGGAGAAGAGTATTGAATGTACCATGGACTCCTAAGAAAACAAACAGATTCGTCCTGGAGAGGGTTAAACCAGGCTGCTCCTTGGAGGCAAGAATTCTGAGGCTTCATTTGACACACTTTGGACATGTTATAAGGAGGGACTGGTCCTTGGAGAGGGACATCATGCTTGGGAGGGTGGAAGGACAGCACAGGAGGGGGAGACCCTCAATGAGGTGGATTGATTCAGTGACTGGGGTAATTGGGCTGGGTGTGTCAGAGGCAGTGAGATTGGCACAAGATAGTGCAGGGTTTAGGACTGTTGTACATAAGGTCGCTATGAGTCGCAAATGATTTGATGACAACAACAACAACAACTCTTGA